CCCACTTTGCCCAAAGCCCCCACTGAAAGATCAAGGCTATGCTCACAGTCAGAGAGCAGCCGTCCTCCTGTGGACTCACCACCTGCAGAGGATCAGTGAGGGGCTGGTGCTATGAGACTTGGGTGGCATCTCTGACTGCCACCCCCCTGACCCAGAAATGGATTAAAGGGTAGAAAATGGATGGATGGATGGATGGATGGTTTAATTAATCGCTTTTTTGAACAGAGCCGCAGCCGCCCCACTGTGGCACTATAGGTGTTCTCAGAGGTCTCCCATCACAGCACTAACCAGACCCTGCTCTCCTTAGTTTCAGAGATCTAACAAGATCTGGCTTTCACATGCAGGAGGCGCCACAAACTTTAAATAAATAAATAATTGTATAGATACTGGTCTGTTTGAGTCTAAAAATCACATTTCACCACATGTTGTCAAACTCTGTAGATAGACTCGCAATTATAGCTCCAGAGTTTTATTTGATCATGTTTTATCTTAAATAATATTATTACCTTAAATAATAGATCTGTTTGATGTGTGCAGAACTTGAGTGCTCTTATTGTCTCCTTTTATCTTACTGTAATGGGCGCAAATATGACATTGAAATTTCCCGACTGAGGGACTGAATAACAAAGGTCTTATCTCATCTTAGACCAGTGGACAATAAAATAGTTTTTCAGCAAAAGAACATAATTAGAACTGATTAATCGTTTTTCCATTACAGCCCCATCACTCAAACATTATGTAGAGATTGACAGTTGTGTGGACAGTTTGGAGAACACTACCTCTCCCTTCTATGTCCGGTTACAAACTTTTTTTCTATGACCCTAGAGGTCTCTGATGGTGCTTAAAAGTGTATTGTCTACTGTGGTGTTTGCAAATGTATGTGGTTTAAAGCATGTCCCAAGACAAATTCATCCTATGGCAGACAAAAACAAAATATTGTATCTCACATTTATTTCATTTATCGAACTCCATATGTTTTCTTAGCTATAATTTACATTATTTTATTTGCAACATTATTCTGCTGTATTTCTTTGTTGTTTTTGACTGTTTCATTCTGAATGTGCAGCGCTTTGTAAACACTGTTATTTTTAAAAGTGCTCACCAAACAAAGATGTATTTTTATGATAATTATCGTATCTGTTGTGTTCAGGTTCGTGTACATCAGACGTCAGAAGGCTGTCGGCCCCCAGCTCCCCCTCCTGCTCCCCCCACAGCCCCAGCTCCTCTCTGCTCTACGCCTCCGAGTCCAACCTGAGCTTCAGCCTCAGGGAGCACTGCAGCACGGCGGCCTTCTCCTCCACGGGTGAGTCTGCTGCAGGCCTTATTCACACCCAAAACTATCAAGCCGTTTTGATTTTATTCTGCTTTAACTTGTTTGGACCGAAAGCCAAAGCAATTTCCTAGTTTGTGAATTCTTGTTACTCACATGGCAATAAAAAGATCCTGATTCTGATTCTTTTTAGACCATTACACCTGTCCAATAGTCTACCTTACATAATAATAAAGGCCACAGCTAAAGTATTTTAAACATGGATTCGCAAATGATCAACGAAACACTTTACTTTTCCCTCTTTCAATTCTATGACTTGCTATCTAATACTAACAATGCATAGACCATTTTAACAAATCCATTGATATCAGAGTATAACAGGTTATGTATAACCAATGTGCATCTCTGCTTCTGTCTCAGTGTATTTGTGAGTGTATGGGAAAAGGAGTGTAGCACATAATAATAATAACATTATTCATAATAAATATACGGACAGGGTTAATATTAGTAATGATAATAATAATGGTCATATTAATAATGTATCAGTTTTATATACTTTTTCATGACATTCATAGACATTCATTCTACTACTTTAGCCACAGCTGCCCTGGAGCAGAGTGACAGAAGCAGAGCAACCAGTCTGGGCTATCTGCTAGCGGGTTAGCAATATCCATTCACTAAACGTTCAACAACATTTATGGACATTGGTCATCTGCCCCTTATGGACCAATAGCTCTATGTGTTTTCTGTCATTGCATTTCTTGTGTTTGAAATGTTGATTCTCTGATCTGTGTTGGCGAATTCAACGGTTTTGTAAAGTCCTCCGAGATAACTACTGCTGTGATTCAGGGCGATACAAGAATATATTGAATTGACTCCATCCATATCCAGTCTATGAGTCGATATGGTAAAAAAAACACAGGGTCTGCGGTGTGTATACAAGCTCATAAACTATCATTCGTTTCTAACCCGGGCTCATTCTCTGCTCCAGGAACCTCCCCCAGCTCCCCTCTGCGCAGCCTGCCGCAGTTGCCCTCCTTCCCCTCGAGCTCGTGGAGCGACGAGTGCACCATCTGCTACGAGAACGAGGTGGACACGGTGCTGTACTCCTGCGGACACATGTGCCTCTGTTACCAGTGCGGACTCAAGCTCAAGAAGATGTCCAACGCCTGCTGTCCCATCTGCAGGAGGACCATCAAGGACATCATCAAGACCTACCGCAGCACGTGAAAATAACTGCAGATACGGAGACACTCTTTACGCCGTTGCAGGAGATTTATGACGTTTTTTCAGGGTATAGATGAACTTTGGAAGGATGAGCGTTGCCAGATATGTTTTGGCGAGGCAGGTTTTACACGCAAGGCAACTCAAAGTGCTTAACAAAACAAGAAGTAATCATACAAGGGATTAAAATCATGAATAATCACAGTGCATTAAGAATTAGGGAAGACACAATCCTTCAGTTGTCTGCTAAACCTGGATTTGAGGGGAAGCCTGTCTCACATTTTCAGGATTCAGGATTTCAGATTACCTGCATTAAATCTTGCTGCCTCCCCATGTTTAGTTCTGACTCTGGGCCCCAGCAGGAGGCCAGTCCCTGTGCTCCTCAGAGTCCGACTTCTGTTGATATGGCACTTACATGTCACAGATGTACTCTAGGGCGAGGCCACGGAGAGATTTGTATTTTGAAAGGAAATCCTTGTTTACGTTGAAATAGAAAGCAAATTACCAATGAATAGACACTTTGACGAGTTTGTTCACGTTGAGTTGACCATTGTTTCCCAACCTGGGGGGTACGCAAGCACATAGGGGGTACTTTGAGTTTTCAGAAAACATTCAAATGAAATGTATTGCAAAATGTATTTTTTTGGTCATCAATTTTACAACATTATAAATATTTTTGGAAGATTGTGGACATCAACATCATAATTTCAGCTACAGTTAACAATATAACAATAGGAGACAAATGTATGTATTTTTTGTCAGTTATTTGGGATTATTGTCTGAGACTGAACTTTTGGGCTCCTTGGAAGGTTGCGAAATATAAAGATAGACAGCTTCTAATCATTACTCACTATTTTTGTAATTGGTCATGAAGGAACACAGGAAATGCAATAAAAACAAACATATAGAAGCCGTGACCATTGTCCATAAATGTCCGTAAATGTCCGTAAATGTCCATAAATGTCCATAAATGTCGGTAAATTTCCTGTATCATCATCGTCCCAAAACCCTCCTACATCGGCAAGAAACAACTAAAAAATAAGAGATGGTGGGGAAAAAAGTGAGAAACCTTGGAGAGACCTGTGTTGAGAGAGGGATACGCTTCCACAGACATACAGGCTAGATCCAGGACTCAGGCTGTAAAACAAGGACTAATCATCACTGTTCAAAGGACCTAATATTTAGGAACGTCCAAAATGAGATGTTTTGTCCTCATGATTATTATGAACCCCGTTTTACCATTTTCCAGTGAGAGTTACGGGAAAAAAAGAAATCTCGGATTTGGGTCGGGTTTAAAACTACACTTCCCCTTTAAAGCCACCAGAAACTTTAAATAAACAAAAATATGTGTCGAGATGATTTGAAATAATTTATTTTAGTATTTTGTTCTAGGTCATAAGCAAATGAAGAGTGCGTTTATTTGTTTGTTTTTTTCCGTTGATGGTTTTGTTATTGGCTGTAGATTTGAAAGAATTTTCTCAAAGAGGGTAGAAACTTATTTGTATGGCACTAAAATACAACTGGCGTTAACGACCTGGCAAAGAGCAATTTGTCTTTCTAATATTTTTCCAATGTCACTTATCTGTTTTTGCAAATGAAATATAGAGATGGTTTGAAATAACTTGAACGCAGTATTCCGTTTTTAATTTCAATAGTTTTTAGTCGTCGTGGACTCATTTCTTTCTATGAACTTATTTACTTCTTATCTCAAGCCAGGAAATATAAAGTTTATTGGAGCTGGTCTGAAATATCTCAAACCTGCACAATATTCTAGGTCATAAGCAAATACATCTATTCTCGCCAAAAATATCAAGTCGCCATATTGACAACACTGACCTCCTGTAAGACTAAACTGAACTGGAGTTCTGGAGTTTCAAACATCATTGAATATGTGTAATTTCGAGGACATAAACATTACAATATAACTCGATAGAAGACAAATATGCGTATTTTTTGTCATATATTTGGGATTACCGTGCGAGACAGAACTTTTGGGCTCCTTGGAAAGTTGCATAGGAAACATTAGGATAGACCACTAGGGCCCTTTAATAATACACTTTTAATTATACTGCAATCATTACTCACTATTTTTGTAATTGGTCATTAGGCTTTTCAAGGAACACAGGAAATGCAGTAATAACAAACCATGGATCTATAATAATAACTATTTATTTTGACATGCCTGACCTTGTTTAAGATTATACAGAGTTCTGAAGTTCCAAACATGATTGTATACGTGCAGGCGGCTCAGGAAATCAATCTCTTTAACTTTATGCTTACATTTCCAGTTCAAACCCAAACATTATATATCGTTCCTAATGGCCAGCCTACACCTTGACCCACTTTGGTCTGTGTGGGAGATGAATGGTAATCTAAAGAGGCGTCTGTCCTACTTACGGCGAGGATAGGACTCCATTTTGTCGCTGATGGCGCGGTGGCACTCTCACTTTTTGAAGAATGAAGCTGTCCAAAAAACGTAACCAGCGGAGGCTTTAAACCCCAACGGCCCCGAGGAAATTGTATGTAAGATGTAACATTTCACTGTCGCCACATATTGGAACTAAGGAAGAAAAAAAAATGAAACGCAAAAAGTCTGTTCTGAAGTTTTTTCTTGTCCCCAGGAGTGCATAAAAAGTTCACATAACCTATTTTCTTCAGGATGAAAAAGAAAAAAAAGACACACAAAACACACACAGATACGATACTGTCTGTCTGTGCATATATTTTTTTTTCCGCTTAGGGCCCCCTCGCTGTGCTTTGTGAATTAAACTAGAGAAATAAGCAGGGATGAAGAGATGCAGGCCATAGTAGGTCACAGAGGGAGGGAAAAGTAGTGTGAGGAGGATCGCACAGGCTGTCGCATGTGTTTGATAGAAGGAGGCGGCGTTTCGACTTGAGGAAAAGCTTGAAAGTAAGTGAAAATGGGGAAATGGGACAGAGGCAAGGCGATGGAGGGTTTTACACGTATGCTTAAACTTGTTGGAATACGAAAGCTTGGGTTATGAAACTAGACGGCTGAAAGTGATGAAAAATAAGTTTAAAAAATGCAAAAAAATTGTTGTTGTATCTTAATTTGAGCACATTTTGAATGCCTTAAAATAAGATTTGCCAATGGGAATTATCTTGTTTTAAAAAGATGCAAAAAAAAGGTCAGACAGTTAGAATGTACTCAAAGTAAGATAAAAACCCGCCCATTTAAGCAATTATTACCTCATATTTTGTCATTTTTACAGTGTAGTTCCTCGCTCTTGAAACAGTTCAGTTCTATCCATAGACTGTATATATTAACGGACAGAGTCACGCCTATCTCCGCCGTTCTAACTAATGGGCCAAAAAATGTGCTCTACTGGAGCAATCCAAAATGGCCGCGAGTGGTCCCGCCCACAAGAAAATTGTGAAAAAACGCATCTGCTCATGCGTCAGCCGGCCCAACTCCATTCATTTAAACGAGAGACTTCAAAAATTCACAGCAAGTAAACTAGAGTGGACCAAAAAAATCCACCCCCCTCAGCATTGACACGGAACGGAGCTTTGGGCCAAAAGCCAACTTTTGGTCCATCCTGTAAAGACGTTTTTGAGAGGTCTGCCAATGCTATATGTTAGCATTGGCTAATTCTTCTTCTGGGTCCACCCCCATCGGCCCGGGGTGGTACTGCAAGCATGTCAGCGCACGTCATTTTGGCCACTTTTGAGCTGGGACCCTCCCCCACTGGTTCTATCACTTGTTTTCGCGTGTGAGTCGTTTTTAGCCTCAGTATCATTTTAGATCATGTTTTATAGACAGAAAAGTGATACAGAGACAATGATTTTTTATTTGATGTATTCAGAGTTTTTTTCTTTTATTCTTTTTTTGACCATTTAACGCAAAATGCAGCCACCAAAAATGCAGTGTTAGAATGACACAATCAGAGGATTCAACATCTGTCCGTCTGATTCCCTCAAACTCCAAAACTTTACTTTAGAACTAACCACAATCAATTAACTGACTTGGAGGCGTGGCTAAGCTCTTCAAACCTGTTTTCATGTTGTGTTGCCACCTGCAAAGTTTTAGAAAGTGCAGATAATTTGGGCAAAAAGTGAGGAGTAAAAAGTAAAAAGTAATCCAAAAAGTAAGTAAGAAAGTTTTGCTGAATTTAACTTGAAAGAATGTGGTTTGGGCGTCTGTAGAGGTTTGATGAATTGATTTTAAAAACTTGAATTGTGGAATCTGCCACATCTTTAGACCAGCTTTTTCAGACAGAAGTGAAAAAGAGAGAGCTACCTTCACTCAGCCAATCAGCTCTCTGCCCAAAGCTTCAAATAGTAAGTAGTCAATAGTAAGTCTGCAAATAATAACCAATAAGATGAAGACAGAATATTGTGGTCTGTACTTTTACACACTGCAAAAAAGTGATGAAAAATAAGTTCAAAATTGCTCAAAATTGGCAAAATGTATCTTAAGTTGAGCACATTATTGACTGCCTTAAAACGAGATTTGCCAATGGAATAAGCAAAATGATCTTGATTGTAAAATATATATAAGAAATGTCTTCCTTTGAATGAGAAAGTAAAGCCTAGTCACTTAAATGGCCGCTCGATTCAAGCAATTATTACCGTATATTTTTTTCCTTTTTTTTGCAGTGAAACAAACAACATGTGTTATTTATTAAAAACTTTGGTATACCTCAGCTTTAAACTCAAACTTTAAGTCATTGTTGCCACTCGGTTCTCGGTTCCGGCCAATGTGCCCTGACGTGGTCTCAGCCTGATCGGCGATACAAGGCTTCATACTATTTTGTGACATTTTGTAACATTAAGTTGCGTTTTGCATATGGACTGCATGGAATTGAACAAAGGTTAATGTATTCTCTGGCATTTACACGTCGCACGCCAGTTTCTTTGCCAATCAAATAAGTCCTATAAGACCAAACTATGAATTCTACCTAAACATTGAGAAAAAAACAAATATGGAGTATTAGTTTAAATGAAGGGTACAGTCAGTGTCTGAGTGTACGGGTATGGCACTT